TTAATGTCATGGTGGCGACCTGGTTTTTGTCCTGTTTTCCTGACATGAATTTCTTCTTTATCAAGTCAAGCTTTTGAAGATGACTATTCAGATTTGTTAGATTATACAGGTGGTAGAATATTACACACTAGTCATTGTGATTCATGATAAAATTGTTCGAAGTTATTTAAACTGGTGCCAAAAGAAAGTATACAGTTCGTTTCCCCAAACTTGAAGAAAACAGAAGCATATATAAATGAACATCTGTTTAATTTCGATAGAGTATTCAATTCTCAAGCAAATGCACTGCAGTTCACTTCACCGTTTGACTGACACTGACAGACACATTGTATCAGTCTGAACTTTTTACATACATCATCAAGGGGTTTTATTTTCTACAAAAATGTCATCAAATGTTGAATCGAGTAGTGAGTGTCACGACCATTGGCTTCAATAAACGCCAAAACACGTCTACGCATTGATGACGTAAGACGACGAATGACGTTAGACCTGATCCGTTGCCATTCCTGTAGGAGACATTGTTCCAGTTGTTTGAGCGGTGGACCCGTGAAGGTCCGGGTTAGAATGAGCCTTCAGTAACCCATGCTTGTCGTAAGAGGCGACTAACGGGATCGGGTGGTCAGTCTTGCTTTACAAACTTGGTTGACTTACGTATGTCATCGGTTCCCAATTGCGCCGATCAATGCTCATGTTGTTTATCCCTGGTTTGTCTGGTCCAGACGCGATTATGTACAGAACCGCCTCCATATAGCTGATTGCGGCGTAAAACTAAACTCACTCACTCACTGTTGTGCGGTGACAGGTGGCGCTGGTAGTCTTCTGATTTGTCGATCCAGGTAGTCCCATAAGTGTTCTATCGGATTCATGTCGGGAGAACATGCTGCTACCTACGGCAAAACAACGATGTTAGCGTTATGCAGAAAGTCAGTCTTGCTGTATGCGAGGCCTTGCGTTATCGTGTTGGTAGACAATGCCACGTGGTTGTTGCTTTGATAAATGGCAGCAAAACTGGTCGCAAAACTTCCTACCTGTATTTTCGGGCATTCAGGTTGCCATGAATAATTTTTAGATCGCCGCAGATTCCCCCCACACACCATCATGCTACCGGCTCCAAACGGCCGTCAAATTATTTTTTTCACAAATATCCAAATCTCCTCACACCGACTCAGGTGAATATCTCCCAAACAACTACTCCATCCTTGCATAATGCTATCTCCCCAGCAACTCAGCAATAAATGTCAAAAAGTACTTGTGTTACGGTTAATAAATTGCCGTGACAAAAGGTTTAAGAGTCCCCTTTGAACCAGCAAAATAGAAAACAGACAAGACTAAAATATTCAATAAGATATTGAGCCATCAATGAATGACAATACAATATATCTAGTACAATGCAATTGAGTCACAAATCTAAAATGTTGGGTCACAAATATAAAATATTAACTCATTCTAGCATTCTAGCAAAGCTCAGGCAGCATCATTATCCAATCAGAACTTATAGAAATCCGTCGAAACGGTGTGAAAACTCACAGCATGATGAAAGCCGTAAATACACAAGATTGCCCAGGGAGGTAGCTCTGGAGCGCTATCAAAAGGCGTACCGCTAAAAATACTATTGCCATTGAACATATATGATGCGAGATGTGGAGCCGAAACTTACACTCAAAACTGTAAACATTGTGACCCATAATAACTATAACCTAATCAATGATATTACAAATTACAAAAACACACTCTCATAACACTTGTAAAGTATTTTGATCATAAACCATTGTATTGCATCAAACTGACCAGCAAAGGATAAGTAAAAGGACTACACAATATTTAACCACTGAATGACCCTTTGCTTAATGGCATTCTCAGAACAAAGAGGAACATAGATTTCTCTTCTGTAGAACAATATCTGCATAAATCTCATCTAACGCATCCCATATTTAATGGCGAGAATTTATAAGATTTGATGTAAAATCTGATACTGGGACCACTGACTCTTGGTAGAATCTTTGCATTGAGACACTAATACAATATAGCTTGTGCGTTCTCTTTCGTTAATATCATGGAATAATACATGTTCCCATTTCGTGAAATTTTGAGTTTACACTGACGCTTTTGTATCAATATTTTGTAGAAATACTGTGCACCTTTCTGGGTTTTCAATAAATGAGAAATGTGAAAAGGTAGTATGGAGATTTGGGTACATGGGAATTTTGCTCATTTTTTACTATATATTGTTTCCTTACAATATTGTATTATGTCTAAATAATCTAAGTAGTTTATGACAATGGAGTTTAAACACAAAGTCTCTATAGGAATAAGATTTCCTTTTCGTCAATAAAATCGTTTATGTATATCATGCCTATTTTGTACATTTTTTGTATAAAGATTGTTTTATATCCCACTTGTATATTATCATTAAACTGATCGAGGCATAATATCAGGTAAAGTAGTTTTGTTCAAACCTTCTATAAACAACCTCCATCAACCTTGTATTAGATCTTTGTAAATCGGAGACATGCGTTTTGTCGTTTTACTCATGATTTCATACACACTATGGTTTTTTACACAAAGGAGGCTTTAAAAGAACAAATGTTTCCATTCCTTAACGTTGGTAGTGAAGGTGCATCTTGGCACAGCTATTTTCTGAGAGTATATAATCTCTTTTATTTGGGGTATCATATTATTCTCCCATCTGCTTTATCACAAATGATTTGAGATCGTTTCATTTAGACAGGTTTATTACTTCATATAAAGTTAAACATTTCCTTTGAAATTCTTCATTAACAACGTCCGGTCGGTTTGGACGTAAAAGGAAACAGATGATTGAGTTTTGGAAGTATCAGTGATTTAAGAATGGTGCTTTACCTATTGGAGTTAAGTTACGAGCTGAGCATATTGCCGTTAATGTTTCATATTGTCTAAGTTTGCTTTCATAATTCATGTCGATCATTTCATTTAAATCCAAAGAAAATTTGAAAGTTTAAAGGTTTCTTGTTTTAATAATCCATTTTTGACATAGTTTCATTTGTGATCTTTTCTTTGAATCTATCCATATAAGTTTTGTCTTTTCAGTGTTTAATTTGAACGAGCCACATAAATTGAAATACTGCGTTGAGGCTTGTTTTGATGTAAACGAGCATCACGTTTACCCATGAAACTTGTTATCATTGTAATGGTAGTATGATTTGAATTTTTCTTTCTACTATTATATTCAGTAGCTGTTTTATACGGCAAACCATGAATTAAAGTGACTGCCTGTAACCCCAAAATAATTCACGGCCAAGCAAACAAACATATGTCGAGGTGTATAACATCATGAAATCTTATAGATGACAATATCATTTTCCCATGTTTGCTCCCAGCAGCATGTCAAGCAGTCGTCTTGGAGCCAACGATCTGGACCTATATATAGATAGATAAGACAAGAAATGAGATTTTTTCTACGTTTATGTCAAGTTTATTGTCTATGCACGCCACACACAGCCAGTCCTAGAGAGTCCCAGAGAGTCAGCACGACAGCCTCCTGTTATGGTACATGCCTATAGTCCGATTTGGTTCCTGATGTTGCTATGGATACCAGCGTTCACCACATCACAGCAGCATCAGGTTCATGTGATGATATCTACTGAAATCGTTGTGCATCAGGTTGACGAGATGTTTGTTGGGGTGACCATCGACAGCTATATTCTATGGTTAGGGTTTAGAACAAAACCATCTCAGGTGAGGGTATACCGCTAGTTTTGATTTTCACAAGCGTAGGTTTTGTTTCCAGATCAGTCTGTTAGATTGTTGTATGAGTATCGTAATTTACAATCATGAAGTCGTAGTGGCCTGGGTCATAGATTTGAATCTACTGTGAATACACATATCATGTGTGTGAGTGAGCGAGCTGGTTTGACACCGCTTTCAACAATATCCCAGTGAATTCACAGCTTAATGTGGGAGGTTAACCCGAAATGATGCCGATCTTAACCACTGATGCTGACAACATATAGAAATAATGACAATGAACTGCGATCAGATCCCAATATCACAGAGTCTAAGTAAACTTAGGCTCAGTATTGTCGTTACACTACATTACTGAGTCTAACAAACCTTAATAGAAGGTCGCGTCATCTAACCTTTTCCTTTGACCAATCAAAACGCAGCTTGCCAAATCTCGAAAGTTAACATTCGAACATACCGTTTGAACTTTTACCTGGAAAACGTTTGTACTCGAACGATTCCGAATGCTATATTCCGCACGATCTCTTCTGAGTGATACACATGAAGGGCGCCATTATTCACAATAGTGAGTAAACAGTCGCTGAAAATAGCTTTTTTGCCAATATTCCAGGATAGGCCTATCACCTTGCGGAAATTTACGCTAATAATAAAATATCATCAGAAATGCCCCAAGCGTGTATACTGCAGGTCAGATATCTGTGTTTTATGCGGATTTCCGTTTGTTGAGAGATCAGTGACAGCGACCGGGGAAGAGAAAAACCAAAAAATATTTTGTAAGTCTAGCTGAACCCTAAAATGGTAGCCGTTGTCTGACTGGTTAAATCCGTTCGGCCGTCTTGCGGTTGGTTCGACGGTAATAGGTCGTTCAAAGGTTAGCTGACGAGACCTTCTACTAGGGTTTGTTAGACTTAGTATGGCAGTGGAACGAATACCATTGGGCCTAAATTTACTAAGACCGTGGAAGTAGGCGACAGAGGAACTTGTAAGATGACAGGTCAGCAAATAGTGATGACATAATACACAGGTATTTAGGGGAATCCCTATAACGTAGCGCGCTGCTCAACCTCTAATATGTTCTCACCCCATGTGTGATGCACTATAACTGTACCGATTGTTGTATGCTACAACTGGGTTATTTGTCGTCAGAAAAAAAAACAATTCTGACAGAGGATCATACAAATAGACCCAACAATAAAGACGTCTGAAGAAATCCTTTTCACCCTTCTCAAGCTCCAATGCCTGTCGTGACATGTTCCGTTGAGTCTGTCTTTGAAGAGGCGTCAGTAAGCGGGAACCCAGCGTACTGACACTTTGAACATGTGCAGTTGGTTATGAATGATGTTCCATGCACTGCCATAGCTCAAGTCGGTCTCATGCATAGCCATTTGTATTGTTACACGGCGATTTTCCTGACTCAGCGCCTCGACTTTGTTCACGGTGTCCATGTCATCAGTCAGTGAGGGGCGTCCACTTCTTGGCTCAGTGAAGGACATGTGACCGGTTTGGAAATTCCTTTTCCATCTCACAACAGTGTCATAGGATGGGCTATCATCACCATAAACAGATTTCATCTCATCCTGAATTTGTCGTGCAGTGCATCCCTTCAAGAGCAAGAAGTTAATTACCCTGTGCACCTCAATCTTCTCCATACTTGGGGGTAGTGGTGTGTAGGATCAAATAGCACAAGACTGAATATAGTGAAGTAGATAATTCCTTGTCCATTAACTAGTTAAGGATCAACTGATGTTACAGTCACAATTATATCCTGATTGCTCAGTAACTTCTTGGTGATAATTGGCACTTGGTGATACCTCCTCGTTTAGCAAGTTAAAATACGTATTTGTCTTTGAATATCAATTAGAAGTTATACACATAAACGGTGGACATTTATAGTTGTCAACTTCTTTAGTATGAGTGACACGACTCACAGTACTTCACCTGATGAAGGAGTAAGAATATATTCCGATTCGTGTCCCTCACATAACAGAAGTTGACATCCATAAGTGTTCACCCTGTCAGGTATTTGTTGGTATTTGCCATATTTAACTCAAACGTACTCGTGTAATATTACCAGTGTACGCTTTTCTCCTTTGCGTTTGGTTACAGAATACAATAAAAAAAGAAAGGAAACCTGGTCATAGAACTTTGTTTTAGTTTGCTACACATTACAACAAATACAAGTCAGCATCACTTGCAGATGCCCACACCAGCATCAGGGAACACAACGAATCCGAAGGTTGTGGCTGGTAGCTGGAGGCTCCCACCATACGCTCGCTCAGGGGGCATTTCGGGGATGGTGTCGTTCACATAATCCAGTCGTTTACCATTAAGAGTCACATTCCTGAAATTACAAAGTTAGTGTCTTATCCTTCTTGAATTCCGGATCAAATCACATCCTGCCTATCAGGTATGCAGTTGTTCAGTTCAGGCTCGCTGTCTTGGTTGACAGGTGTCATCATATCCCAGTTGCGTAGATCGATGCTTACTTTGCTAAAGACTGGATTGTCTGGTTCAGACTCGATTATTACAGTCCGCCGCTGTGTTAATAAACACACACACACACACACACACACACACACACACACACACACACACACACACAGAGTTGTTCAATAAGTGCTAATCACTATGTGTGTAACAGCACGAATCACTGTTTATAATGTTGAACTTTGTACATTGGACTTTATATAGTGTGCTATATACATGTGTTGTGATTAGATTATTTATGACAAAAACATTAAATGGCAACTCCTGTGAATAATGATACATATTGTACTGAGTGTAAAGGAAAATTTAGTGAATTTGTATGAATGGATCACTGAATGTTATACAGATGCTCGCGAAAATATAAAGCATCTTCTGTTCTAAACACACGTGACCCGTGAAGATCCGGGTTAGAATATTGGCCTTCAGTAGCCCATGCTTGTCGTAAGAGGCGACTAACGGGATCGGGTGATCAGGCTCGCTGACTTGGTTGACACATATCATCGGTTCCCAATTGCGTAGATCGATGCTCATGCTGTTGATCCTTGGATTGTCTGGTCCAGACTCGATTATTTACAGACGCCCCAATATAGCTGGAATATTGCTGAGTGCGGCGTAAGACTAAACTCACTCACTCACTCTAAACACATGTATAAGCAATTATCACGGGTCCATATACTCACCTAGAAGTAAGATCTGGAAACGCTGGTTGAAGCCAGAAGACATCCATATTAGTTTTGAACTGAGGGAAGGTGACGGCGGTGGTGAAGTTGTTGACGTTGACGATATAAGCTACAACGCTGCCTGGTTTATATCTGTAGAGACTGAAACAATACATCGTGGACATATCAATTTTAATGCAGATATTCATTCTGAAGACGTCGGCGGTTAAAATATGACCCATCAACATGCCTGGTTCTCATTTATATGTAAAAATAGACTACTCATAAACGAAGCAAGGACTAGCGGCAACATCATTACACCTATGTGAAGGAGATCATGACATGGTCTATACAGCTCATTTACATGCTGCTGCTCGTTAAAAACATGAAAACATTACAGAATGTTTAAACCAGAGCGGCTATGAGAATGCGTCATCGATAAAAAAATACTGAGGAATGTTTCGACTTTAACGTTAGGCTTAACAAAGTAAGACAATCCATTCCATCTTCTAATGGAATGTGAGATTCGGCGATAATCTTGCTGATTGGGCAGGAAGAGGTTGACGCTAATATATTAATTGTTCATTAGAAAATCCAAATGGCTGTCAGTGACAGAGTGAAATCAGATCTATTAATGTATAACTCTTAGAAACTGTCGCAGTTATCTGTTATCTGTTTCTAAATTCAGAACCCAGAATGGTTAAAAACAGAATTGACAGAGGAGCTTGTCATCACACAGTGGTTGTGTCATTTTGTGCAGTACAGCGTTTTGTTTAATTTCGGATCCAAACATTGTTCAACGAATATTATGCGCTTTCTTAAGACGAGACTAATAGTCTGATTTTTACCTCCACTTTAGATAGTTCGCCAAGATTTGACAACCCTGAAACGTTACACATCCGAATTATACATGGGATCCGAACATAGAGAAATTTCCTAACGCTAAATGTTTTAGATCCGAAATTACACCTGAATCCTAAGTCGCGTAACACTGCGTACCGCGTGCAGTCAGATTGTGTGTCTAACTTTGCCTGTTCCATCCACGGCTCTCAGTAGAATATTTTTTATTCTGAGTGATGAAATCATCGTCACTAAGTATCTCCTGTGCCCATTGTGACACATTTCAACATACTTTTCCTGTTTTGCACAGTGGGCGTAGACTCTGAAACTGTTGGTTGAGTTGGTCTGCACAGATAAGACCTTGAACCCGACCAGTCTCTTGTAGAGCAACGTCAGCCAGTAGTCCTTGAAATTGACGCGTGTTATAAAATGTTTTATTCTTCAAATACGTGTCACAGTATACATATAACAATCCAATATGTTCAAGTGTACTATAAATGCTGTCATTGTTTGAGGCATGGACTGGTGGTAAGTCAAGAAATATGTTAATTACATTAATATATATTCAAGGACCGACAAAAAAGTGACGTCAAACAGTATTTCATCGACAGTAATGTTAGTTATGACCACGCATATGTATGGTTTAAAGATCCTTCGAACAATATGACAATTTTACGACAGCTGCCTCGACTATGGTTATGCTTTTACCTTACCTGGAACCTTAATAAGCATAAGATTCGTTACATGCCTGTGAGATACACATGGGCACATCGCCAAGATGCATTTTAGCTAATCCTTAGTCTTTCATCTTCAGACACGTTAACGCACTATTCACATGCACATTTACTCATGTAAGTACATTTGCACATGTGCAAATATACTTACGTGTGTAAAAGTAAATTAACTTTGCGTTCACATTGAATTTATGTAGAGTGAGTAAACTTGAATGTGCGAATAATAAATGTATTAAATTGTCTCATTTGTTCTCTGAACTTCAACATAGAATGATGTTCTCTTATGGCTGCTCTTGCAATAGGTGTCACAAGATAAACCTCTCCCTGGAAGAAAGAACGACAGTCTGATTGGTGGAACCACATGAATAGATCAAATGACGACAAAGTCTGGTACGATAATTCACGATAATGTACAAATGGGTTTTCGATCTTATCTGCGCACAACTGCAGGATTACTTAAAAGCTAGTGAATAAGCTGTTCGCCATCCTTTGGATGCATGAATGAAAGTTGCAATCGCAATATACTGGATGGCTTCAACTTCAGAAAACAGAACTGTGGGAATTTGTTTGGTGTTGGGAAGTCCACTTTTTGTAAATGCATTCATGAAGTTTGTCAGACAATATGTGATGTTTTGCTTCCGGAATATGTAACTTTTCCCATAAATGAAGATCTGAAAGAGCTGATACTATCATTTGAGCGCAAACGGTCTTTTCCAAACTGTACAGGATCCATAGATGGATGTCACATTCCGATCATTGCACAACAGGAAGCTCATGGTGATTATCTCAACCGTAAGGTCTGGTACTTCATCATTCTCCAGGCCGTCTGTGATCACAAATATGTCTTCAGAGATATTAACATTGGATGGCCTGGGCGAGTTCATGACGCCTAAGGTTTTTTTTCTAATTCTGAAATCTTTCAGAAAGGTGAGGACATATCAGGCAGGATGAAGGATCAGGCGCAGACATCTGAGCAAAGGTGACATCCTGTCTAGACAGCATCCGGTAAAACAAACAATCTATTCCTCATTCCCTACCACGGAAGCCCAGTCATCTTTGAACTCTCTTTCTGATTCCTGCAATGACATTCAGACATGGATGACTAAAACCTATTGAAAATTTATGAAAGTAAAACAGAATTCATGCTTGTTAGATCAAGAACAAAACTTTCCAAACTTGACGAGCCATCATTCCAAATAGGCAATACTGCCATAGCCCCAACCCCGAAGGTCAAGAATCTAGGGGTTATTCTCGATGAAAATCTAAATATGGACAAGCAGATCTCCAGTCTTCGATCACATTACTCCAATACTGGGGCGGAGGGGTAGCCTAGTGGTTAAAGCGTTGACTCGTCACGCCGAAGACCCGGGTTCGATTCCCCACATGGGCACAATGTGTTAAGCCCATTTCTGGTGTCCCCCGCCGTGATATTGCTGGAATGTTGCTAAAAGCGGCTTAAAACTAAACTCAGTCAGTCAGTCAGTCAGTACTCCAATACTAAAAGATTTACGCTGGCTACCAATCACCGCATGAATTGACTACAAAACTATTGTAATCACGTACAATTGTCTCAACTGAATGGCCCCTGACTACCTCGCAGGGTTACTGCATCTGTATCAGCCCTCACCCTCACTGAGATCACAAAAACAAATGCTAGTGACAGTGCCAAACATCAAAAGCAACTTTTGAAGTGCACTGCGCTATCACTTGAACTAAAAACCAGTGCGTCACAAACATCTTTTAAGACATATCTTTTCAAGTGTCAATTTCCATCTTAAGAGCACAGAGCATTTACTAGTAAATGATGCGCTATATAAATGCACTTATTATTATCCTTTTTATACTGGTTCATCCCTACTGAGAGCATTGGTACAGGGAGGAAAATGCATTTTGTTGACACATTGTTGAGTCAGTAAAGGACATTGCTGCAATAAATCATTCTTATCATATCAATATTGTTGCACTATCAGCTACAATATTGTCCTGAAAGACGTTCCTAGCTGAAAACTGAAATTCAGCAACAAGATGGCCGCTGCGCAGAGTTATCCTGCCCAGGCCAAAGTCAAACGATATATCTTTTTTGTGACGTGACCCATTGTTCTATGACGTTGCTATCTATATATCAATTCCCTCTGCTGTGAGGTTAACTATCCACTAAATGTGTGCTGCTTTTTGTCGTTTAGTTCATTTTAGAGTTATCTACAAAGTCTATCCATTTACATAATAATAACGGTAACGGTTCTCTCTATGGCATTTTTATTAGCGGAAACCCTCAACTATTCAATTGCCTTCCTTCGTAATGCAGTTAATGGCAGACCCCGGGCTTCTATAGATGATAATGCCCTGGATGAGACGTTGCCCTTACATTGATACCTGCTATAGTATATACGCTTCCACTCACGTTTTGAGCAATATTGCCCTCGGTCCGATGATGGCTGTTACGTCGGGTCCAATAACAAGGGTTGATTCAAACCCAGGCGTAGACTTGAGGATTGCCCTGAGGTGGAGAAAATCTCGCCCCAGCTGTGCTCCAGATATTGAATTGTTGAAGGGCGGGGGAAACCATGCAGGTTCTGGAGAGTTACCAAAATAGGGTACAGAATTTATGATGTGACCTTTGCCATTCACATGCATGCATTCATATAGAATATAGCTACCTTTGAAACATGCATGAATTAAAACAGGCGATAGCTTTTAATAATACACAGATATTAAGAATTGAATAAGATGTATAATATTAATAATACAAAGACGACTGTTATCTACTTTTATCCAGTGAGCTATAGAAATATACACTACCATTTCCCAGTTCAAATGCGGGTATCTTGTAGTTCTTGGAATTGCTGTAGTTCATCAGTTCTATGGCGTTTGCAGGGTCCCATTGTCCGTCTTTCTGCTTCAGCACATTGAGGCCAAACACCAAGTCCCATCCAACAGTCTTCACGAAGTCATTTAGATTGTCCCAAATAGCACCTCAATGATAAAATACATCTTCCATTGGAAACACCATACATAATGTAACATGCTTGTTAGTAACTGTGAGTGGCTCTCGTCGTAATTGTGAAGGTTTTTAGGTTTCGTCGCCAGGGTTTGTGTCTAGGGTTCGTGTCTAGAGTTCGGGAAATATGTCCTCACAGCAGACAAAGTCGCATTTCAACACGACTTGAATGTCACAACTTGAAAGCTCAACACTGCTCTCAGCGCTATTACTCGAGGTTACCCCGAAATGTAACTGTAACGGTCATTTTATGCTCCATAAAGTTATGAACCAGTGCCAACATTATTCACCGTTATGGCATGGAGTAGAGCTAATCACAAAACGTATCAGGACATATATAACTATACCTGTATATGTGGAGTTTGCACTTGTACCCCCATGACCTGTTGGGTCAAAGGTCAGGAAGTCTCCAGCTGTTCCGCCTATTCTCAGGTAGCACGGAAACATCGCTTTTGCCAGCGTCTGGACTTTAGGTGATCTAGTTTTAAAATACTGGTATGTTTTCAGAACCTTCACAAGTTTCTACCTTGGAAAATAGTAATATAAATACTTATTAATGTGTTCTATTGTTAACCTCAAGCAAATGAGAGCTACACGTATATAACTGTATTGTGTAAGCCCACTCACCTGAAATCAAGTCCATACCAATTAGCTGATAGTGGTAGCAATGATGAATCAAGGGTCATCCAACGAAACGGTCATCTATCAATCCTATGTCTTTGTCTGTGGCAACAGTGACAGAAACAGATTGACTGTGTGTACATTGCACATACAAGGAACAGAGAATAACGAGCACACGTCAGCAGTAAAGTAAATCAGATAAAGACCTTTTTCTTTATATCTGGAGCACTGACCTCGAGTCAAGGACACACTGCTCATAAGCCAGAGAAGATAAATAGGTAGTTGACATTCTTGTTGATGGAAAAGTTAAAGTCAGAAATGCCCATCAATGTCCATGTTAACTACCGTTGACTCCACCATTTCTCCAATTCCACCAGATCACCAGGTTTGGTATTAGTCTGGTACCTCACAACAAAACATTGAACTGATGACATTGCAGTTTACTTAACAGATATGATAACTGGTGCCTGGTTGTAATTGCATCCCAGTATGTCCTGAGGGCAAGTGATGACAAGCAGCACATTGGTGATAACAGTGATAAAGCTCTCATTTCAGTTTCGCGTTTACATTACAACCAAAAGTAAAAAAACAATCTTCTTATCAGTTCAGCATTGACAGATTTGATAAAAGTGATGATTGTAGAGGACGATGGAGTTGGTTACCCAATTTGCAATGCAGTTTATCACCTGTACTATTTCATGTACACCTTATATCATCACTATTTATAGTGATTCGTTACACATGCTGAAGTCAATCATTACACATGTTATGTCAGGTTATGTTTGGATATCATCACCATTCGCTTCGGATAAAGGGCGGTGGGGTAGCCTATTGGTTAAAGCTTTTGCTCGTCTCGCCGAAAACCCCGGGTTCGATTCCCAACACGGGTACAATGTGCGAAGCCCATTTCTGGTGTCCCGCGCCGTGATATTGCTGGAATATTGCTAAAATCGGCATAAAACTAAACTCACACACTCAGTCACTCACTCTTCGGATAAAACATGACACAGATTCTTTGAAGTCATCTGAATTCCCAGATATATATTGTTAGAGTCTTGATCCGAAGTTTTGCTGAAGTCGAATATTGTCGCCTAGGAATATATTGCTATGATACATGTTTCTCTTGGTAGTGTTGGTAATATGTTTGGGTAATTCTCCATAATCAGCAACTCGTCAGAGGGGTTTAGACCAAAGATGGTAGAAAACACTACCAGTGAAAGTGCAGATTCTCATTTATGTTTTAGACACTACTTGTGTCCAAGCGTTCATGAGAGTCAAGTTTCATTTTCAAGTGCTTGTACAGCATGAAAACTAATAGGGCTATTTAAATCTGTGACGAGTGTTTGGCAACCCCATTTGGCACCAAGAGACTTGAATGTGCAATACGTTAGTATAGGAACCTATTTTTGATTGAATGAAGTACTACATGAGTATGCCGATTCGAACAGGAAATAGGAAAAAGTGAAATATAAATCCATTAAGGATCCAGTAACAGTCAGAGAATTGTACTGATGCCAATTCCTGATAAGGTGCACGAACAAGTCAATTGGGTACTGATATTTAGTACTCAAGTTTCTGCAAAGACCACACTGGAGCGGAAATCCTTGATCTTGTCCATGGTCTAATTCCAACAGCAACTCTGACTCTGATGGTTTCCGCTTGGAGCTGCGCCGACTGGGTGCTATCCATGAAAGAGCTCTATTCTCAGCCTCAAAGTTCCCTTAAGCCTTGCTTTTACAAATACAATCTTTCAGGAGAATGTAATAAAACGCATGTCCAGTGAACTGGAAAATATCCTTTCACAACAGTCAAAAATGTTAAAAATCAGGAGAATGGCTCATCCATCTGAGCTTGTGACACGAAGGTGCAGTGGTGATGAAAATTATATTTTTGTATAAACCAAGGGGCATTTCATTTCTCTGAATTTTATATAAGCCTAAAAAGATTTTCTTCATACGGGCCTAGTGGTGTAAGACCAAAATGTGGCGCTGTACGAGCATATTTTCCGCACCCAGGGTTTTTTAAGTTTGGAATCATATAATCCTGAAAGTGTCACCATCCACACTGCCATCGTTTTATTTTTAACGCATCTACGTATTTAACAGATTTATAACTGTTCGTGAAACTTGATCCTAATTGCAACACATCTCGGATCTGTGTTGTTTTATGTTTTCATAATGATGGTAACAGAGTAGATGTATAAAGGCTTTGATATTCCTATTTCTTTCAGCCATGATCTTGCGTTGAGCCCCGTTTGATGCAGCAATTAAATCAAGTAAACGGACATCTATAAATAGGACAACCGAACTATGTCCAGATGGTACCGCACCGTCACGTCAATTACAACAACAAAACGAAAACAAAGATTTGTAATGCTACATTGTTTTACTCTCTGTATTACAAAATACCAGTCACAATCACTTACATATATCAACATCAGCATCAGGGAAAACAGCAAAACCGAAGGACTTTACTGGTAGCATGAGGAACCCGCCAAAGGCCTTAGAGGCGGCATGTCGGGGATGGTATTGTTCACATAATCCAGTCGTTTGCCATTTAGAGTGACGTTCCTAAAATTACATACGCCCATTCTTATTTCTCTGGACTCGTGAAGATCCGGGGTAGAATTGATCTTCAGTAACACATGCTTGTCGTAAGATGTGACTAACGGGATCGGGTGGACAGGTTCACTGACTTGGTTGACACATGTCATCGTATCCCAACTGCGTAGATCGATGCTAATGCTGTTAATCAATGGATTGTCTGGTCCAGACTCAATTATCAATTATTTACAGACCGCTGGAATATTGCTGAGTGCAGCGTAAATGAAACTCACTCAATCACTTATTTCTCTTGCAATACGATACCAATAATAGTCCTAGTGACGATAGTATTTGTTATTCATTTGTCTGATAGTTACTGACATACGAATGACATATGACACTTTTAAGAATGTTCGACGATATATAAAGTTATTATCACTGCGTTTATTTGGCCTTTTACGAGAAAGTGCTTTTTTCAACTGTTTATTAGTCTCACGACATGTAAATATCCCGTGTCCATATACTTGCCTGGAGGTTAGATCTATGAACTCTGGTTTCAGCCAGAAGAGATCCATATTCTTTTGGAATTGTGGGAAGGTGACGACGGTGGTGTAGATGTTAACGTTGATTATATAGACTACAACACTACCTGGCTGGTAGTTGTACAGGCTGTGGAAACATTGAAAATAGAAGGAAGAAAGCATTAAATAGTTGAACAAATCAGAATAATAATAATGCTATGAAAGTGTGCCCACAGTACAAATGTTCATTTTCCATAAGTAAATGTTCTGATAAATAAGAAACACTCTTGTGTATTGAGCATCCCTCAAAACACGTTGCAAATGTGTACCTGTCCTGTCTGGCACAGTGGGCGTAGACTCTTAAACTCTCGGTTGAGTTGGTCTGTACAGACAGCACCTTGTACCCGACCAGTGTCTTGTAGAGCAACGTCAGATAATAGTCCTGGAAAGTGATCATTGTTACACATTGAATACACCCATACATACACACATATACGTCATGTAAATTTGATTCATCACAAGTGATGCCTTCTGCAGGCAAATAGGCGCAAACATTCATATTCAGAAAACACTACTTAAAGCAGTGTCGATTGTACGATTCCACAAAAGAGCATGGCAAAGGAGATAATGACACAGTAGCGTACTCCACATACCACAGTGCCACAATGAAACATTAGAACATGTCACAGCATTGTAGTCTGGTTTACATCAGTTGCACTGTGAGAAGCATTAGTAAGTGCCAACGGAGAAAGTTTACTTATAATAATCAACCACTGACCATACTCAACTGTACACGTGCAGTGTAAATTGTACCAATGACATGTATGCAGTCAGAGTAGGAACATCATTAACGAAGATGTAACCAGGATGCACTGTACTTGTGGCCACAAACAAGAACGTTTTCACGAAATCAAACGATTAATTCACTAGACTTTATGTTAAATAACAATGTGTACATTTATGCATTTGTGATAGAAACACCTAGTGCACAGTTGCATTTCAGTACACAAATGGGATATATCTATTGTACCTACCGGATAAGGTTCAAACGTGTTCATCTCGATGAGAGAATAGTTTTTCCCAAAGTACGATTGTCTTAACACTCCTTTAAGTCCCATACGTGCAGCAATCCCGAGCTTGTCTAACCATCTGAAATATTCAAGTCATTCATAGAAAGGTGCGTACAGATATAATGCAATTACGTTTTCCTATTCAAAGTGTTTTTGGTGAAAGTAATACGGTTACGTTGCTTTTACGTTTGAGGTAAAGTTTCATTCATTCATTCATTCATTCATCCATTTATTCTTTCATTGTGGAAGGCCTTACAACAAATATCGTTCATTATCCAGAGGAACCTACAATGTACACACTCCTACACTATATGACATGTAACAATAATTTATGATCAACGAGGAATGACGAATTATCTGTCCCGAGTGTAATTTATCTTTTGAGTCATAAGTCTTTACGACTTTGTGTGTGTATTAGACGCTACGTACGGATTGTACGGATTGTGTAGCGTAAATACAGAAAGTGATTGTGTGTGGTAAATACGGGAACTCATTATGTATGGTAAATACATGAAGTGATTGTTAGTGGTAAATGCAGGAACTGATTGTGTATGTTAAATAGAGACACTTATTGTGTGTGGTAAATACAGGAAGTGATTGTGTGTGGTAAATACAGGAACGGATTGTGTATGGTAAATACAACAACGGATTGTGTGTGGTAAATACAGACACTGATTGTGTATGGTAAATACAGACACTGATTGTGTATGGTAAATACAGGAAGTGATTGTGTGTGGTAAATACAGGAACTGATTGTGTATGGTAAATACAGACACTGATTGTGTATGATAAATACAGACACTGATTGTGTATGGTAAATACAGGAAGTGATTGTGTGTGGTAAATACAGGAACTGATTGTGTGTGGTAAATACAGGAACCGATTGTGTATGGTAAATACAAACACTGATTGTGTATGGTAAATACAGGAACTGATTGTGTATGGTAAATACAGACACTGATTGTGGGACATCAAGCAATGACTGTTCCTATAGTCAACCTCTGGTTTGCCTGATGAGCCTATTTTACAGTCCGCCTCACATAAGCTCGGCTGTATTTCATTGTTTTGCAAGAAAACATTTATGCACAATAAACGACGCCATGGGATAGCTGAAGAAAATGGATATTGAGTTCTCTAATCATACTGCAGACCCGGGAAGGGTAACTTTCATGAAGCCCATTTCTAGTGTCCCTCACCGTTTTATTGCTGGGATAATGCCAATTGTAAACAACCATATCCACTAGTGACTCGTGCACTATAAATTGTTATAAGCTGCAACACAGTTAACCTGGAAACTACGACCAATACTCACAGAAAGCCTGCTACATATCTGTCTGACACACCAGGAGTTCCACCTCCATAGAAGGACGATGTCTCCCCGAGCCACAGGGGCGTGTCGGGGTTGGAGAGGTTGGTGACGTTACGCGCTATGTTGATGTCAGTTATCAGACCGTCCATAACCTGGGGTCGGTACAGGCGTCCGGGGTACCAAAGGCTTTATAGGCGTAGTACCTACACATATTGGAGCGGCTAAGATCAAGTATCCATACGAAGCTTTATGCCCTTGATGATAAAAGTACCAAAATTGGTTATCATATAAAAGAACGTGTCTGAAATAATTTCAGATATGGAGGCACCTCAAATTTTGTGTTTTAGCGCATGCGCAGCACATAAACTATCCCATACTATTTTCAACATTTCACCTTAAATCTTTAGTATAGCCAGCCATTACACGCCTATAATTTTCATTAATAGTGATTTACAGGCACATGAAAAGAAAAGAAATACATAAATTTAGAATAAAACAAAACATTTCGAAACAATAAACACTTACTCTTCCCGCAATGGCAGCTAGCAAGTAGTTTTTTGACTATTGAACTCTGTGTGTATGCTTGGAATTTATCGGATTACAATTGACTGAAAATGTACACCATAATACAAAAAAGGTCTTGGATATGTTTAACAATAAAAATCTAAGTGACTATTCCCCAACAGTCAAATGATTTCTCATGCAAAATTGTGTATTTATTTACAAATGTATTTTATTTATAATCTCTACACAGTGTCGAGTTCCAGCTAGGCTGATGACAGAGGCGCTTTGTTTTTCCCTCGTTCATTAGATATCAATTTCAACGGCACATCGTATTTTCAATCTCAACTCCCTGGGATGTATACAACACAATGTCTTCTCTACACCGATTAATAAACATAGTTTATAGCGAACATATATTTTGATGTAACTGAATAGAAAATAATAACTAGTTCAGCTCAAGACTCACTGGTGAAAGGTTATCCTGTCAACTGCTTTGCCTCCATCCCCTTTGAAGAAACTGTAACAAGTATTACACCAATCCAGGCATCAGAATCGTTAGAATCGAGTCAGTCACTCTATGTGACAGTTGTGTCCTAGTTACATGATGGTTTTATTGAAATAGCTGATGAAGATCCGGGTTAAAATATATCTTCAGCAACCCAATCGTATCGTTAGAGGCGACAAATGTGATCGGCTCGCTGACGTGGTTGACACATGTCATCGTACCCCAGCTGCATTAATCACCTGCATCTCTGGTCCAGAAGTGATTATTTACATACCGACGGCATATAGCTGGAATATTAAAGAAGGAAACAAGCCCACCAAAGAAGCTGGAATATTGTTGAGTGTGGCGTTAAACAAGAAACATAAAATGAGGTAGTTGGAGATGTTGATCTATGTGTGAGATGTACGCTCTGTAGTGATTTATAAACATATCGTCATCATATACTGAGGATCGTTAACAGACCCTGTTTCAGCAGCTATTTCTTATGTTATGGTAAGGAGGGGCGGGGGTGATTCGCACTTATATATGTTCACATAACAACACTTTTGCGGCTACTAACCAGATATTCCGGGAGACAGTCTCGTCCAAGCTGTGCTCCAGATATAGTGTCGGTGAAGGGTTTAGGGAAAGATGATGGTTCTGAAGGACAAACAGAGAAGATTAATGCTTCCAGGACATGGTTGTTTGCCAAGACTGAAGTACACAGTTGTAAGTTACAGAGAAAAACACAAGGAAATACTTTAGGTAGATCTTTCTTGGAAAGATACGCTGTTTTAGCTCTGGAACTATTACATCACGCTCACTATCGGATGTGTTTTGATGTGAAGTATTTGCAGACCTAAACGTGTTTCTTCAAGATGTTTGTCGTTAATAATTGTCTTTGTTCTTTGGTATCAGCAGGTATGATCCTGCCCCATCCTGATCCCACTGTGCACTTCCAAGAGGACAATTATATTGTCAGATGTGCTGTAGAAAAGTGTATCTTAACATGCGCATGGACAGGCAATAACTTTTACTTATACACATAGACGAAACCGCCAGCAAGATGGATAGTATGGTAAAGAAAGACACCTAGTCTATGCTGTATAACCGTTGACATATACACTACCATTTCCGAGTTCAAATTCGGGTATCTTGTAGTTCCTGTCATGGCTATACTTCATCAGTTCTTGGGCGTTTGTAGGGTCCCGTTGTCCGTCCTTCCGCTTCAGGACATTGAGGCCAAACACCAGGTCCCATCACACAGTCTCCAGAAAGGCTTTAAGCTTGTCCCACATAGCACCTCAGACATTAAATACACATGTTTATCATACAAGTGTTACGTTCTCAGCACGAAAAAGCCAACGGAAAGACATGTTACCCTGATAAATATACTAATGTACAAAGTTCACGTAAGAACTAGTTTCAATGTTTACAAACATGGTGTCGTCGTAATATAATTACAGTCCTTTCAAAAAAATCAATTTTAGAGAGGATCGCTGATTTCATCATGAAGGGAAGACAGGTCCAGACTTCAAGTGCAGAAATTTGAACTGAACCTAATCTGTTTTTTATTCAATTCTTTAAAGCATGTCATTTTATGGCTGAAAAGGCAAAGATACACTTTACACTTGAAGGTTGTACGATGGCTAATGAATGCGATGAACCTATTTAAGATCATGCAGTTATGACTGCCGTTACATTGAATACAAATCGAAAATATATGCCATGTGCTCACACCGAGCTTCTAATGGTAGATACAGTCAGTCAATACACAGTCATTGTAAATGAATGCCAACTCAAAGAGTTGATTTTTAAAAAATAAAGAGCGGTATGAACGAATTCAATACGATTCATTTTGTTTGTTTTGACATACACCTCAACTATAGAAACATACCAGTGTAAGTAGCGTTAGGACTTGTACCACCATGACCTGTTGGGTCAAAGGTCATGAAGTCTCCAGGTGTTCCGCCTATCCTCAGGTAGCACGGAGACAATGCTTTTGCCAACGTCTGCACCTTGGGCGAGCTAGAAACAAATCTTGCAAAGAACTATGCACTCAAAAAACAGAGTATATGTATTTGAAATTTAAAATTGATTACACACATATTTATGTCAAATAGCGTAAACATAACTATAATATATAGCACATAAATGAACTTGTATGCTCTCCTAAAATCTAACCCTATCCAATTAATTGATTTGGGCCCATTTGGGAATCAAATCTCACGCCAGCAAAATGGTCATCTAAATGCTATATATCGACACTGTGTAAATTCACTCACCCGAAATCAAGTCCATACCAATTAGCTGATATTGGCAGCATTGTTGACTCAAAGGTCACTCCAACAAAATGGTCATCTATTGTTGCTATTGCCTTGTCCGTAGCAACAGTGACCGAAACAGACTGACTCACTGTACATTCCACATGCAGGGAACATAGTATAAAGAGCATACGTTTGACAGCCATGGTGTCAGAAGGACTGAATGTAAGTTAACCTGTATCAATAGAAAGGAATTCAGATTTATTGCGAACGACTGAACTCGTTCCAGTGACAACCAGAACTTACTGATAAGCCAGAACTGATAAAAGAACTAGTTTACTCTAACGTGATGATGGAAAATTTTGAAAAATAGTGTCACGCCTATATGAACCTTAATATACACAAACAAATAAACCCATGTAGTAGGCTAATTGTAGAAGTTTAACAGGCTTGACACTGTACAATTATATTACCTGGACAAGTGTAGCGAAGACAAAGCAGTGTCCTCAAAATTGAAATGACTAAAGTTTCCATGTATGGCAATACGACCACTGATGCATCATTGTAGATACATCATTTGCAAACACACACACACACACACACACACACACACATATCTACAGCACACCTAATGGTCAGTATTGAAATGTAACAGTCAGTATAAACAGCACTTAGTCAATGCTACGACTTGTCATAATGTTTCTTGTGAAATCTTTCATGAGGCTTTCAAATACGCTCCCCGGTCCGGGTTCCTGTGATTTTCCAAGCAAGCTGTGACGGTCAGAGATGAACGTATGGATCGTGCGGTATATCGGTATATATTGTTCACTGGATCACATTGAACCCAACTGCTTTGATCGTTGTTTTGTATCAATCACTGGATGATGTGTTCAAAGCTGCTCTATTTACAGGTAGTCGGTATATTGGCGGAGTGCTTTTGAGTGCTGTGTTACACAAACAAATCAGTAAGAGTTACACACATACTCCAATATTCGACTCCTTTGCATCGACGTAGATGCAACTGTATATACTGTCTCTTACTGAATACAGCTAGTAACAATCATCATCATTACTTACGAGTAGATGCATCATTACATTATCGCCTTCTGATAATTGTAGTATATTTTCATAATGGGAAGTGTAAAAAAACAATAAGTACACGTCGAATGGTTAAGTGGCACTTGCCTCATCACTATGTATCAATGATTTATCCATGACTATTTTGTTAATTTGCTCAATTAAAAAAAACCAGTTTAATTTTAATGTGAGATCACAGTTCTAAATACTATCAAATTCTCTGGAAACAATGAGTGTGACTCAAATGATAATGTTAAAGAGAAGTCGGTATGGTTATGCGCAGACAGGGTAATATGTCATTAAAATTCTTTTCACAGCCACAAACAAGAGAATATTTTTCCACATTGTATCTATCTGGGGATCTGAACTCAGTCATTCAGACTGACGAAGGGATGTTTATTCCAGTAGGCTGCCCCTTATTCCTCGACAACAGTTTCAAGTACTAGTGGTTATTAGTATATACCTCCAATGAACTACATATTGGTTCACATCTAAGTCATCCACCATTCCGAACAATTCTTGTCCACGGCATACTTTATTCATGTGAATGTAATACAAAATTATCATGTTAATAGTGACATCATTTCAGAAAAAAGAACCTTTAATTTTGCCATTTTGATTCGGATTGGAAACTGTGTGCATGCAAGGATTCAGCTTGACTACTATCAGAGAAACACATGACTGAATGAAGAATAAATATTCAGATTTATTTTCATAGCAAGTGCAGATTGTACAGATTCTTCTGAATCATTCTGTGAACATGATCACTGGCTACTGCAGGCAGCCACATTAGCCTCAGGGAAGACGAGGAACCCGAATGACTTCCCGGGGAAGGTAACCGTGTTTCCTTCCGTCCTGTAAGGTTTCAGCTCCGGCAGGGTATTATTGACAAGCTTTAGCGGGTTGTTGTTCAAGGCCACGGTTCTGATATGGTGAAGATGGAACAAGTGCTTTGCATGTTTCTTATATTATTTTGTGTACTCCCACATGATATCTGCATGTATATATAATAGTGTTGGTTTGGCCGGCCACTCACATAACGTGGTTTTCTATGGTTTTCTAGAAGAAACTTAGTTTAATTTACCACCTGTAACATCAATCGAAAATCTCGATTTGTAAATTCCCTGTTGCTGAGTCTACCGATTGATGTGAACCAGAAAGCATCTATAGGTTGACAAGTGGAATTATTTGCCAGTGTGTCTATTGAATGGTGTAAACTAGAAAACGTTTAGGTTGAAGGAGGACTTACTTGCTGGTGAGTCCATCGACTGGCGTCAGCCAGAACACATCTACAGGTTGGTCGGGAAATTGTGGAAACGTAATGGAGGTAGTGTTATCCGTGGGCAGCAGGAAGTACATCGTCACACTTCCGTGCGCGTAGCCATAGGAACTAAAACACAACACTAAATATTAGAGGACCGTTCCCTTGACATGAACATGAATCTGAACCCATTATATTTTACTCCATATTCTGTATTGATTATGTTTGATTTTCAATGGCGCACGGAAGAAGACCTATGTCGACACGTACTTTATTATTTGATTAAAATGTGAACAAACGGTTGGCAAAAGTGTCTGGGCATCCAATTCTGTTCCCGGGCAGGTCATATCAGAAAACATCAATATATAGTACATGCTATATACATCAACCTCATCTATTGTACAGACATTCATCTGGCGTCCAATCTGGTTATTCTCTAATTCATTCTTTGTACGTATCTAACTGTCTTCAAATAAACTTACTTACTCGCAAATCAACTTACTTACTCTCTTACACAAGATCCGTACATCAGCCTATCAACCCATATATATACTGTATCTACTGTATATACAACTCATCCCTAATCTATTGCAATAGCAGCTCACGTATATATTCCCTCACATTTTTTCTCATGTATCACTTGCTTGACAATGACATTAGAATCTATGTCGACACGTCGCCTTTCACAGAATAAAGAAGTTGTTTATCCATGGAATTATCATCATTGTTCATGACATATCTCAGTGAGCTAGAAGGTTATCATAGGTCCATAATATCCAACGACTATATCAATCCCTGTGAACTTATTCAACATACCAACTGCCAGGACAAGTCCCTTCATACTTTCGTGATACCTAACCTCACATCGCATCCGTTCATTCAACAGATTTTTCTTACTTTGAATTTACGTCTTAGCAGGCTAATGCTTTAAAATATCTGGCTGCATTTTGAAATTACATGGATGGCTTTGTGCAGTGGGCGTAGGCTCTGATGGTGCTGTTGTCCACGCTTGCCGTTACTGAAAGCACGGAACCTCCGACCAGTCTCTTATACAGGACAGTTAACCAGTAGTCCTGCAGAGGAACGCATGAACAAAACAAACTCACTAGCTTACATCAATATAAATAAAATATAGGAATGATTGACTTCTCTACAACCATATTTTGTTGAGTTAAATGTTCAGTGATATTTATTGCTCCAAGAATTTTATCATGTGAAATAATGAATTAGACTAACTATTTGTCATTGTAACATCTATTCAATATTTCAATGAACTCAGTGCGGTAAGTTTCCATTCTGTTACGCAACATCATCTGCAGTTGTCTTTGGCAACGAAAACATAAATATCTTTCATCGTTATCGCAGAAACTGCTGTTCCAAATGAAGTGATTTAATCACATTCATTGCATGATGGGTAATTTTCTCATTCCTTGATAAAAATGCATAGCATTCATCCAACTTTGGCTTTTTTCACCGCCTGCTTTAATAACCACAGTCGTGATTAATACAACATCATCCCAACTGACTCGTACATACAATATCAAACATGATTAGGTTGAGATTAACCATGCTTGAATTTTCAATGAAACACTTACACCACTGGGTTTAAAGGCAACATTGCGGTACAGTCTATATAATAATAGAGGGTCACTGAAACTCAGGGATTTATTGTTGTAGGTGCTACATGTGTCTACCATTCCCAGTTATTCGTTATCCTAGCAGGAAGATGCCACCATGCCCATCCCTACACGCACCAGCCACATCGCCTGAGAAAGGTTTGATTTACAGGGCTGGACTTTTTTGTAAACTAAAACACTATCCTTGAAAACATTTGATCCAGCAGCTAGGAATGTTTAAAACCAGAGAAGCGTGCGCCGTGTACATGCACACTATATACATATATATGAACAAACTTCCAGTTTCATTCATACGGGCAGTGGGTCAATGGTCGTCTCTATACTTACAGGCAATGGATCAAAGGTATCAGTGTCAATCAGTGGATAGTTGTCAACGTAGAAATCCTGTCTGAGAACTGCTTTCAAGCCCATCCTGGCAGCAATACCAAGCTTGTCCAGCCACCTGGACAGTGTACACTTTCAAAAGGTGGTGTAGAAGTTGCAATAGAATGTACGTGTGTTGTGACTTCAGCCCATTTCTACATTTAAGGTCACAACATACGTGTCTGTTGTTTTACTAAACGATTTACGAATGAAGGCAAATGTTATCTTGGGCTACTTATTTTGTAAATATCACTTGAAAAAGCATTATCATGAACTACCATCAGTCATCATTATGCGAGTATAGTTGACTAAAGTACAATTAGTTGACTAAAGTACAATGTGTATGTGTGAAATTTTGTGCTGATGTTTTTACGCACAGAAACCCAGCGACATATCTATCGGAGATTCCCGGAGCTCCGCCGTGATAACAGGAGGAAGTCTCTCCCAGCCAGACTGGAGTCAGAGGGTTGGTGCGTCTTGACACATCCAGCGCTGTCTTTATGGCACTGACTAGTGTGTCCATCAACTTGGAATCGGTGAAATTGGGGAGTTGTGCGGTATCGCCGTTGGTGTAGTAACTGTCGATAGATTGGTAGATTGTAATTGTTGAGTCTCCGATAGCAATTAATCGATGGAAGAAACGAAAAACTATCGACGCATCGATAGTATGTGTGACTTTTGATAGTTTACTAAATGACTTCCGTTGGTACATGCGCAGCGCAAAATACAGGGTGTTTGGGTGCAGACTTAGTAGCTTCAATGAGATTATGTTTTAACTTTTTACTTGACCTGGGTTTCAAGTTTCTTGTCAGTTATTAAAAGATACTGAAACTACTTCAACTTGTGTTTATTTCATATAAACTATACA